ATGAATTGTTGAGAAAGTTGCAACCTTTTCATTCAAAATTGATGTAATTTATGTAAAGAATTGCTAGAAGAACAAGAAATAGCAGACAGGGGTCCCCGGGTTGTCGGATAAAGAAATGGACATGAACCCAGGTTTTAGTGACAAAACCCAGAAAAAGAGAGTGACTCGAAAACAATTGGTCCCCCCTCGTGTCCCCCTTTCAAGACAATAAGCAAATGCCACAGATTCCAAACATTCATAATATGCAGTTTACTTCTGCAAGAATGCTCATCAGCAATCAAAGTTTATTCATAATAACAATATTATTATTATTCAATCTCCCTAAAGTACATAATAAAAATTCAACGTGCTTCAATGTTTAGGCCCAAAAAAAAAAAAACAGGAAAAACAAAGGGAGGGTCTTGGTAACAGACGACTTCTTTTCAGACCCAAAGATCCAATCTTTCCAGGTCACCGATTTATTATTCGTCCATCAATATGTGTGCATGTACGTATAGTAATAGAAATTGCATTTGAGAGAGATAACCTGGAATTGAAAATTGAGCGAACAATCTGATCGAACGAGACTTCAGACGATCCCTAACCCGAGAATTGGGAGGGTTGGATTGGATGGAGAGAAAGCGCGCGTGCCAGATGCCCGTGACGTCGTTTTGACTGGCTTCAAAATCGTATGGGAAAAGAGCGCCAAAAGGTTAGTGTCAATTCGGCCCAAATTTCCAATTGGGCTTTTTTGTGTCTACGAGCCCAAGTGGCCCCTCCTTTTTGAAAACAGTTGCAATATTTGAGTGTTTTTTTGGCTGTTGTCTAAGATTGGAAGAGAAAGAGGAGGTGCTATTAGAATTTGAGACTACTAATCTGTAAGCAAATACATTTACTAATCATCAGGCTATAAATCCGTTGACGCAATATTTGAGCTTTTCATGTCAATTTAAGCCTACTAATTTAGTTACGAATTTCAACATATCTTGAAATTTAGCCTCCAAAATGTTATTATATGTATCATGTACAACCATCGGTACCAAAAGAGATTGAGCTCAACCAGTCACCATCTATCCCCATTGATATGGTGTGAAAGCCAACCCAGAGTTATTCTCATGCAAATAATTGCAACTACGTGTCAATATGGGCTCATGCCCTTCGGTTTGATCATTAACCACGTGCCCAATATCCAATTGCACCTATCAGCCGACCCATTTGGTGCTACTTTTTTCAAAACTTAGCTCACCCACCTCCATTTACACGTGTCATGATCTCTCAAATTTAGTCTCTCTTGAGTTTCCCTACTTTTCCAAATAAATAACACAACCACCCTTTTTCTAGCTTGATCACCTCTCTTTGGGTTCCAATGGCTTCTACTTATTTTTCTACTTGTTTGGTTTTATTGTTCTTCTTGGTTGTAGCTGGGTTTGATGCCTGCTCGGCTAGCCAGATTGGTTTGGGTTCTAGGCTGTTGGCTAGAGAGAACCAAACACTGGTCTCAGATAATGGCACATTTGCTTTTGGCTTCACTCCAACGGATGAACACGACAGATTTCAACTGGCAATTTGGTTTGCAAAGCATCCCGGGGACCGAACCATAGTTTGGTCTGCTATAAGGTAAATCATCAAAAACTTCGTCGTTTTAGTCCCTTTAGAAAACTATGCCAATGCAGATGCAGGGGTTAGTCTTTAGTTTCAACTTTCACAAGGAGTTTAGCTGAGTCATGCATTGATAATTATTTTATTAGTGTGTTTTTGTTTTCCTTTTCATTGAATAATATTTGATCAAATTGGTTTCTGACATGTGTCTATGAAAAGTCTTAAGATGCATGAAAATGTTACAGCCAATGATATTAAGAACAGAGCAAATGAAGTCTACTTTTATGTATGTATTGCATACTATCCTAGTCCAAGAATTAAGGAAGTCTCCAAAAGATTGGATGGTTACTGATTTTTTATCACAAACCAATTCCCCATCTTTAGTCTTTGCAAAAGCTTTTGCAGGTAAATATGATCATGATCACTTAAGCCAACAAATTTCATTTTCTCTCAATCATCTAATATATAGAAACGCTGATGTCTCCAACAATGCAATCCTGGAGCTGGACACAACCGGAAACCTTGTACTCATGGACGGAGTTGCTACCGCGTGGACATCAAACACCTCTGGCGCTGGTGTTGAAGGCGCAACCCTGGCAGAATCCGGCAACTTCATTCTCTACAACCGTGTCAACCGCCCTGTTTGGCAGAGTTTCTCACACCCATCTGACACTCTCCTCCCAAACCAACCTCTTTCAGTCTCTTTAGAGCTCACAACTTCTAAATCACCCTCACATGGTGGTTATTATGCACTCAAAATGCTTCAACAGCGCACTTCTTTAAGCCTTGCCTTGACTTACAATATGCCAGAAACTTTATACAATTCCTCTCCTCAATCTTACTATAACTATTCTTACTGGAATGGACCAGACATATCAAATGTGACCGGGGATGTTGTCGCAGTTTTAGACGAAGCAGGAAGCTTTGGAATTGTATATGGGGAGTCATCTGACGGAGCTGTTTATGTGTACAAAAATGATGGTGATGATGGAGGACTATCAGCAGCATCAAACATATCAAACAGATTATCAGTTCTTCGGAGGCTGACAGTTGAGAGTAATGGGAATTTGCGTTTGTATCGTTGGGATGATGATGTTAATGGGACAAGGCAATGGGTGCCAGAGTGGGCTGCAGTTTCAACACCATGTGAGATTGCTGGAATTTGTGGCAATGGGATATGTAATTTGGACAGGAGCAAGACTAATGCTTCTTGCTCATGCCTGTCAGGGACTTATAAGGTGAATGGGGGAAGTCAGTGTTCAGAGAATTCATCATTGATACGAAAATGTGATTTACGGAATAATTATCAGCCATCCCAGTTTAGAATATCAACGGTGCAGCAAACCAATTACTACTTTCCAGAATTTTCAGTCATAGCAAACTACAGTGATGTTGAGAATGTATCAAAGTGTGGAGATATTTGTCTACATGACTGTGAATGTGTTGCTTCAGTTTACGGGCTTGATGATGAAAAGCCTTACTGTTGGGTTTTGAGGAGCATGGATTTTGGTGGCTATGGGGACCCTGGCTCGACCCTGTTTATGAAGGTTAGGTCTAATGGCTCAGTGACACCAGAGGGCAATGCTAGAGGATCCGGGGAGTCTTCAAAGGGGTCTAGTAATCGGCGAGAAAAGGTTTTGGTTATTCCTATTGTTCTCAGCATGACCTTCCTTATATTCCTCCTCTGTTTCTTGCTATATTACAATGTGCATAGGAAGAGATCCTTGAAGAGAACCCTGGAGAGCTCAATAATCTTGTCTGGTGCTCCACTTAATTTTAGTTACCGTGATTTACAAATTCGTACCTGGAATTTTTCACAGCTTCTTGGAACTGGTAAGTATGGACTATATTAAGAGAGAGAGAGAAAAGGGGGGGGATTGTACACCTTTGACTTCGAGTACTAATTTTTGTGCAGTCTTGTAATGTTTGTTGTACGTAGTAATGATATGCTACTTTTCAGGTGGCTTTGGGAGTGTGTACAAGGGAAGCCTTGCAGATGGCACTTTGGTTGCAGTAAAGAAACTTGAAAGGGTTTTGCCACATGGAGAGAAGGAGTTCATAACTGAAGTGAACACCATTAGCTCCATGCATCATATGAACTTGGTTCGTCTGTGTGGCTACTGCTCCGAGGGCTCACACCGGTAAGCAATAAAAATTGAGCATATGATAGTCTACTAAACATTCTAGGATACTGCATTCAATTGATCTAACAATTTGACATTAGTTTATAAAAGCTTAACATATTTTCTTGTGCTGGCAGGCTTTTAGTTTATGAGTTCATGAAAAATAGGTCACTAGACAAATGGATATTCTCCTCAAATTATTCCCAAGACAAGCTGCTGGATTGGCAATCACGCTTCAATATAGCTGTGGGTACTGCACAGGGAATTGCATATTTTCATGAGCAATGCCGAGATCGAATTATACATTGTGACATCAAACCAGAAAATATTCTGCTGGATGAAAATTTCTGTCCTAAAGTTTCTGATTTTGGACTAGCTAAGTTGATGGGAAAAGAGCATTCACAGGTTGTTACCATGGTCAGAGGAACTAGAGGCTATTTGGCTCCAGAGTGGGTGAGTAACCGGCCTATAACTGTGAAGGCTGATGTTTATAGTTATGGCATGCTTCTCCTAGAGATCATTGGTGGTAGAAGGAACCTTGACATGTCATTTGATGCAGAGGACTTTTTCTATCCTGGATGGGCTTTTAAGGTATCCCTCGAAATTTCATATAATTTTTTTTCTCTTATATAAAATTCTGTTTTCCTTCAAATATTGTGGACAATTTGGTTTTATCTAATGAATTTCAATTATGCTTGTAGGAGATGACAAGTGGAAATCCCATGAAAGTTGCAGATAGGAGACTAGAAGGAGCTGTGGAAGCAGAAGAACTCATGAGAGCCTTGAAAGTTGCCTTTTGGTGCATTCAAGATGAGATTATCATGAGACCTACAATGGGGGATGTGGTGAGAATGTTGGAAGGATCAGTGGACATCAACATGCCAACAATGCCCCAGACAGTTTTGGAGTTAATTGATGAAGGCCTAGATCATGTATACAGAGCAATGAAGAGAGAGTTCAATCACTTCAGCTCCTTCACCATCAATACCCATCCTTCTTCATCGCAAGCTACATGTAGTTACTCCACAATGTCCCCTAGATAGTCAAACGGATGTGGCTAGAAATCGGGTTATAGCCGTTGCGGAATAGAAAATCCTAGGGTTACATAATCTTGTATGTTCCACAAGCTGAATTGATCAAAGTTAAAAACCTCATTGGATTCTTTTTACAAAATATTATATTTCATAAAAAGCTAGGAAATAGTATTGATATATCATAAACCGGATATAGGATACATATTTATATTGTCAAGGGCCATACAAGGATCCTTGTTTCAAGTTGTAAACATAAAATTAGATTCTAGACATGATTCTTGATGGAGGAGCTGTATCCAGTGATATCATCATAATACTTGGACCAGAGCATGACACCTCCATACTTGGCCGAATTTTTTATAGCTGGAAGGATTTGTGAGTTGAGATCAGTTGCAGGAATAAATCCACTGCCAGCAGCTTGAGGTGCAGCTGGCAATCCCAAGAAAATCTTGTGTGCAGGAATGGCTGAAGTCCACTGCTTCCACGAGTCTTCGAGATTGGCCACATCGCCGGAAGTGTACTGGCAGGGAGGGTTGTTGTAGAACTGAACCCAAACATTGTCAAAGAGGCCTGTCTTAAGGGCATTTCCAACCCAAGCATCAGGAAAGGGACATTGTGGGGCAGCAGTCAAGTAAACTTTCTTGCCTTTCTTGCTATATCCAGAGAGGTACCTTGCAAGGTCATCCCAATGCTGGTCGGTCCCTCCCTCAATATCAAAGTCAATTCCATCCAAAACAGCAGCTCCCAATGGCCTTGAAGAGGAGTGTCCTCCCAAGAAGTTGTTCCACAGATAAGTAGCAACTTGCCTTGCATCATCAGCAGAGGTTAGAGAGTAGCTGCCAGCACCTCCTCCAATGGAGAGAATGACCTTAATCCCCTTAGCTTGGCATGACTTTATCTGTGGGCTTAACTTGGTACATTCATCGGTCGATGGGTCACAGTGACCCGCGAGGTTGATCACGGGGGTTTGGCCATTTCCAAATGAGGAAAGAAAAGCTATGTTTACAAATTGGTAATTCCCTGAAGCACAGGTTTCGGCTAATGTGCCTTCATTTCCATTTTGACCCCAATATATGGCAATTCCACCTGCATTAGCCCCCGCAGCCAGAACTAGCACTGCCACTAAAGAGAGCAATGCTAGGGACATTGTGGGCTTTGAAGCCATCTCCTAGGTTTAAGTGGTTTGAGAAGTTTTGGTGAGAAATGTTGTTTTGTGTACTAATGATATGAAAGAGGTGTTCTTATATATATATATATATATAGAGAGAGAGAGAGAGAGAGAGAGAGAGAGATAGAGAGATGCGTGGCATTGAGGTTACGTTGCCCTTTCTTCGTAGTATAGTTATTTTCTCGTTTGTAGGTTGAAGGCACGCTTGAGTTGATATTGAATGTACTGTCCATTAGCCTGCAAATAAAAGGAAACTGATAATACATCGTGTATCGGCTAATGGCCAAAGTCCTAAATAATTTTAAAGCTATTCAAACGTGGTTCAATTATGAAATTATTGTATATTTGAATTCCAAATCTAGAAATGGATTGATATAAGCTTATACACATATACCTCCAAAACAAAAGTCCCTGCGGATATGGGGAGACGAACGCTGCAAAATTTGTATATTATATAATTATAAGATCAAGTTTAGAGAGTGACCTTTTTGTAACCTTTGGATCTTGATTGAGGGGTAACAGTTCATAGTTTAGATTTATGAACTGTTAGATTTGCAAGCGTGCGTATGCCATGCAAATTCATACAGTAGATGAACTCGTCATTAAAATTTTTCTTTTTATCCCAAAATGTGTATTATTAATGACATTGATTTTTTTTTTCTTCGTTTTTTTTCATTTTGATTTTGTTGGAACGACATCAATATATTTTTTTAGGTATATTTTTTTTAGTACGATCGATAGTCTAAACTATAGGAGAGAGGGGTTTTTCACACATACTTACAAAACTAAGATGTAATGAGAGTTCGAATTGCAGACATCTAGTCTACAAGTCAAAACCATTTTCCAATAAGCTAGACTGCTTACTGATGTATATTTATATTTAAATCGTTGGTGAGATGAGGGCATAGTCCATTTGAGCTTTAAATCCATAAATTTGAATCCAATGTAGGCCCAAAAGTGGCCCACTAGTGAGACCAAAATAAAATTTTGGGTCCAGTAGTAGGCCAATAAAAAGAAGGAAGCCCAATCTTCGGAGAATTATAAAAAGGAAGCCCAATCGTAGTCTGAGGCCCAATTAAATCAAGCCTCTAACATACACGGGCTCTTGGCCCAATGTTTGGGCTTCAACAGCTGTAATAATTTCCAACAATAAATAAAATAAAATAATAACAAAATGGTAAAGGAAAGCAAATAAATTAGTTATATTTTAAGCGCGAATCTCATTTTTACTTGTATTTCTTACTCTCCCTTCCAGCTGGGAAAGCTAATCGGACTTCCCAGGTCCTTCTGTAAATCACAAAACCCCTGCGCTTCATCTGCAATTCCAGAAGAAGGTACCATTCTTTCATGCAATTCCTCAAATTTCAATTGCTGTAAACCCTAGATCTCTTTAACCCCTTGTCTTTCTTATTTATGATGCCAACTTAATGCTATATTTTACTTGAATTATAAATGGTGACTGATTGTTTATTTCTGGGGCAAAATGTGAGATAAAACCATAGTTTTTGCAACTTAAAAAAATAAAAATAAATAAATTGTTAAATAAATTAAGCATGTCATATAGCTTGGAATAATCAGAATTTTATCAGTGATGAATAATGAAATGTAATTTCTTTTATGCTTTTTGTTCACATATGAAGAAGGTGGAAATTTATGTTTGTTGGTCCAGTTGGACAAGATGGAGAATATGCAGTATGCCGAGGAGCTTGTGAGGGAGTTTCTTGTCTTTAGAGGATTCACTAACACTTTGCAAGCTTTTGATTCCGAATTATCTACGGATATCGGTAAAGGGTTTCAAGTGGATAAGATAATGGATTTGATCTTCTCGGTGTATGTACCTAAGTTTCAGGCAGAAAAGTTAGTTGGCCTGTTCAGTTTTTTCAAGCAGTGTCTCTCTTCATCATCCGAGACGGTACTTTTGACTACTCTTTCTAAATTGGAGGTGTCTATTCTACGCTACTATGTTGTTAGTGCCATCCAGTCAGGAAGGAGGGACAAAGTTTTAGAGTTCTTTGGAATGAATGGGAATGATTTGTTGCGAAGGGGCCAGGACTGGGCTGCATGGTTTGGTGGGTTTGTCATTTCATCTTTCTAATTTGGTATAGTGAACTACTTTCTCCTTCATTTACACTTTTTATTGTGTGATGCAGCCATTCCATATGTAAAGAAACCAAACTCTGATCCAGAGTTTCGTATATATTTTTCAAAGGAATGGTATGAGGCCTTGCGTTTATCTGTGAGGAACTTCTTTAGTGAGATCTTCAATGGTACTCATATCCTTCGGAATTATATATATATATATATATATATCGGCATTTGAGAGTGGACTTTGTTTAAATTTATGATATTATCAGAACTTCACAACTAGCCTATAAAAACTTATCTTTGTTTAGATGAACCTTACTCTATTTTATTGTGAATTTATATATTTCAAGTGGATGCAAGTAACCTCCTCTACTGTTGGCTGGTTTTTCGTTGGTTATTCCCCTTTTATGGTACAGTATGACTAAGATTTGAAAAAGAAATGCCCTTAACTAAACCACGCATGCCAGCCCTTTTGAAAATCAATTCAGAGAAGACTACTGTCAACCGTCTAAAAAAAGACATCAAGCAACTTAATCTCAAGCTGTCAGAACTTCAGGCTTTGTTGGAGGAAAAAGATGGTCAGTTATGGCAGTTAAGAAGGTAAATTTTTTTAATTGTTTCACCCCTTCAGAGTTGAGACTATCATGTTTAATGAATTGTGTATAATTGGTGCAAGGGTTCATCAGTAGTGAGCCTATGATTTTTATTTTTTATTTTAATTCTTTTATTTTTGTGAAACTCAGTAATGCTTCATCATTAGTGGATGCAAGCACTGAAGAAACCAAGAGTTCATCAAGTGTGGTGTATGAGGAAAATCGTCTTATATCTAAAGATACTCGGGAAACATGCCCTCCTGCTACTTTTCAAATAGGGGAAGCAGAGGTGAATCAAGATTGGATTGTGGCTGTACCTGCTGGAATTCGACCAGAAATTAACATATCCAAATCTGATCCTAACTTAAGTTCTCAATCAAGCCTTCGTGCAGGAGATGGTGGAACTGCTGATACTATTCAGCTGTTCCAGGATGGGCCGTATAATGGTAGATAACAGCTATATCTGACTTCTTTTCCTTGGTGTATTGGGGACAGTGCGGTAACTATTTCTCAGATTATTTGTTGATAACTATTGTATGTCATGTGGCAGAAAATGGCAGGGAAAGCCATGTAGAAGACTTCCCTGAAGTTAAAGTGGACTTTCAGGTAAGTTGCGTCTAAAGCTTGATTAGTTTTTGTTGATTTTACAAACTCATATTTCTATTCTTGAGCTTCTGCATATTGTAGTTCCCCCTTTTCTTTTCTTTTTTTTTTTTCTGATTTTTTCTTTAGCTTCGCTAGTTTACATTTAATTGGGGACTCCGTAACTTTTGAATCATTGTGGTTTGTAGGAGACATTTTTGGGCCACACAAGTCCAATCACTCGCTGCCGCTTTTCTGCATCTGGAAACAATATAGCCAGCGCATCTGAAGATGGCACAGTAAGGTATTATTTCATGGTTATAACCTTGGCTGTCAACTCTACTTAATCCCATTGCCTTTTATTTTGTATCATGTGTCGGCTGCCTAGGTGACCTGTTAAATGTGGCCCCTCACATATTCACAGATCTGTCCACACCTAGGTGTCGTATTCCTTGGGTTGCCTATGTTATTATGTGTGATGTGTTCATTGTTCAACTCCTTGACTTTTGGCTGATTTCTCAACTCCTTGACTGTTTGCTGGTTCCAGATTTATAATCTGTATTTCTTCGTACATATTTAAATAGGATATGGACATATGACTCATCAACTCCGGCATCTAGAAATGCAACCATTTATTGCGGAGCCAAAATATTGTCACTTGACTGGGAATGTAAATCTGACCGATTGGTATGCAGATTGGATTTTCATAATGAACTCAAATATTGCTTGGCCTTGAAATCATACTCTGATTATTTGATATTGGAATTATCTACTTTTAAGTGTTTTTTTTTTTTCTTTTTGACAAAAGCTTCTAATAGGCACTGCTGATGGAGGCATTAAAGCATGGAATGTCGATGCAAAGAGAGTTGTCTGCGATCTTAACACGAGTGAAGCATTTCCAAGGTTCTTCCTAATATTACTGGTACTATTGTGTACTCCTTGATGCTGCTATTTACCTTTGTTTTCCCTGCTACAGTGTCTTGGATATAAAATGCAGCCCTGTAGAGCCAATATTTGTTTCTGCAGCAGCATCCAAGGGGTATGTTCTTTCTGTAATCTTATTATTTTGTTCATATGCCAGACTCTGTGTTTGACCAAAATGTTGCCCCTATTGTAACAATCCTATTCAACTGAAGTGTGGTATGAGCACCATGCTGTGAAATGATTATAATTGGATCATGAAAAGATTCATCTTATAACTTAAGTACATGCATCTATGTCCTTATATGTGTGTGTTGGGGTATTAAATTTTGATGCATGTCAGAATTAGGAGTTTATTGTCTTTGTAGGCATGGATCAAGTCATCTTGATAGTCTCGGGTTCGCTTCATTAACTGTGTGGAACATGAAGACATGGAAGGCTATGGTATGTGCTATAGCCACTTATGTTTTAACGCCTTATTCTTTTTGTGAGAAGAAACTTGTATTTTTATGCCTAAATAACCTTTTGGGTTTCATGAAGACAGTTCTTCCTCTTGGTAAAGATCCACCTGCAATTACATCCCTTAGTTTCAATCACAATGGAAAGATTTTAGCAGCCGCTGCAACTGATGGAATGATTCACATGTTTGGTATCCTCACATATATTTTAGGGATTGGTATAAATTGTAGGAAATTAGGTGGTAAATGATTTTCAGAAGAGCAGAAAACCCCTGTTTTTGACACTTTTGCATTGCCCGAGTGTTATTTATTTTTCCAAGATGGTTAAATCACCCTCAACAAGGGCATTTAACTGTATGGTCAAGCCCATGTCTTTGTAGAATCATATATGGGTTGCCCCTTTCTGTAGCAGAGGTTTCCTGCAGATGTAC